TGGGGGCCCCCTCCCCAGGCCTGGCACCTGGGCCAGAGCCATCAGGCCTGGGCTGGGGGCAGAACCAGTGATGGGACACCTCTGGCAGAGGAAACCCAGGCCTGGGCAAGGGGCCGATCCTGCGATTGGAGATTGATGGGGTTCAATGCCTGAGGTCTCCCAGTATGTAAGAGGGGGCAGGCTGGGCTGAGGGACACTCCCCCTCACCCCCACCCAGTGCACGAATTTCGTGCACCGGGCCCCTAGTGTTATTATAAATACTAGAGGCCTGATGCACGAAGATTCATCCAAGGACAGGCCTCCTTCTCCTGGCTGCCAGCACCAGCTTCCCTCTGGCACCCAGGACCCGGGCCTTAGCTCTGGCCGCCACCTCCCACCTTCACTCCAGCCCTGCCACCCTCCTATAGCTCCTCCACCCCCTGTGCCCCTCATAGCAAGTGTCCTGCCTCACTGGGCCGCTCCACACCTGCACAGGCATCCTGGCCCAGCCGCCGCTATCTTTGTCGTGTCAATTTGCATATTCCCTCCTGATTGGCTGTGGCCACCACCATCTTTATTGTGAAGTGGCAGTCAATTTGCATATTCCATCTTTATTAGATAGGCTGGTTTAATGCACTCAAGGGCATTCCAAATAAACTGCTATTTGTTTGGAAAAAATGAAAAATAAAAGTGCCTATAGTGAGGGAAAAAAAAACATTTTCAACCAATAAAGAAATATTTAGGAGTCACTCAGCCTTGAAATTACCAGCAACTTTGTGTCATGTGTCCTTAGAGAATCAAAATAATAAAGCAAGCAACAGAGGAATCAACACTGAAACACATTAGATCACCTTCCCATTAAATGCTCAGCTGTGGGAAATTTAATCATGATAAATGAGGGATGATTTCCTCCAAGGGATCCATTCATTAAAAATACAGCACTATCTTAATACTTGAAAAAGTTCCAAGTTGTCTGCAAAGCACACATTTCCAATGTAGCTGCTTCTAAAAAGAAGGCTGTTCAAAGGAACAATCCTGGCCCCTGCGGTGCTTGTGTTCCGACCACACTGCAGTGGCTCCTGGACTCCCACACCCACTCCTCAAGCTCGGGAGGCCCTGCTTTGATGCTGAGCTGATGTGGGCTCAAACAGGTGAAATCATTTCCCCTACAACAGTGGTCGGCAAACTCATTAGTCAACAGAGCCAAATATCAACAGTACAACGATTAAAATTTCTTTTGAGAGCCATATTTTTTAAACTTAAACTATATAGGTAGGTACATTGTTATTAACTTAATTAGGGTACTCCTAAGGCTTAGGAAGAGCCACACTCAAGGGGCCAAAGAGCCGCATGTGGCTTGTGAGCCACAGTTTGCCGACCACGGCCCTACACCATGCAGCTAGAAACCGTGAAGCCAGAATTGTACCCAAGTCTGTTAAAGACTCAAGTCCAGTCTCCCCCTGGGACCTGGGACTGCTTCTCCCCTGAGGAGTGACCTTGGCATTGCCAGCCACCAAGGCCACCTGTCCCTACTTTTGTCCTCCACTGTGCAAAATTCTGTTTTCGGTGACACAGACCTCTGTGGGGAAAAGTGTTGTGGCACCTAGAGTTCAATTGTGCCAAAAGGCCGTTTCATGATCCCTCCTGGTGGAGAAAGGGAAAATGGAAGAATCAGGCAATAGTAGTTTCATAGGTGTTGAGAAAAGTAACTGCAGCACTAACCAGTTTGGCTCAGTGGATAGAGCGTCAGCCTGCTCACTCAAGGGTCCCAGGTTCTATTCTGGTCAGGGGTATGTACCTTGGTTTCGGGCACATCCCCAGAAGGGGGAATGCAGGAGGCAGCTGGTCAATGCTTCTCTCTCATCGATGTTTCTCACTCTCCATCCCTCTCCCTTCCTCTCTGTAAAAAATCAATAAAATGTATTTTTTTAAAAAAAGAAAAAGAAAAGTAACTGCACATTGCTCCTGTGAGCACCTCCCCCAGGAAGACTTGTGAACACCGCAAACAAAACTCAACCCAACAACTATCAAGTAAGAACCAAGTTTTCATTTTATTCAGGTGCTCCCAGTGGGTCAGTACCCAGCATCATTTCATCTGAAATAATTTCACAGGAGAACTGTCACACTGGAGAAATGTACCCAAAGCCAGGATCCTTGAAGCTGGGGATCTCATTCTTCCTGTAGAAGTCGGCCTTCAAATGGTTGGCACGGCCGTGCTCCAGGTTCAGAGGCTCCACTGGCTGGTGGATGCGCTTGCCGTAGACAGATGACATCAGCACCCCGACGGGCCTCTCCCGCTCCTGTCCAGGGCATCAGACACGCAGGTCAGCACATGCCCGCTTCCTCAGCAGGGCTCACCCTCCCCTCGGCCTGGGATCCGGAAGCTGATTCTGCCTGCGTCACCTGCACACCTGCATCCTATCTCTCTGCCTGGGCTTCTTGGGGGCGACTCCACACTGGCGCCAGGGCACCTCTTTACTATGTCAGCTCTGCCCTCTGCTCACAGCCCTCGGGTGTCCTCAGGCCCTTCAGAGGGAAGGCAGAGCTTTTGCACTGGGCGCCAGGTACCTGTGACTTCAGATTCACTTTCTTCCTCCCTCCCCACCCTCCTCCCTGCCCTGCTCCTGCCTGCCCTTCTTTTCTATCTTTTCCCAACTTTTTTCTTTTCCAGGGTGCACATCCCCCTAGTGACTCCTCACCTTCCCAGCACCCCTCATCTCCACAGCCCGCTTCTAATCTCCCCAGCCCTTCTCACCTCCCAAGCCCCCACATAACACTTTCACTTTCCTCATCCTCTTAAAAGGCTTTATGTCTCTGCAAGCCACTTACTACTACCTGGATTCAGTTCATTATTTGTTTGGCTTTTATTTTTCTGTCTCCTCATGGGAATGTCGGGTCCAGGAGGCAGACACTGCTGCCTTACTCCCTGTGTGCTCAGGAGTACACGGGAGGTGCTTAAAATCTATCAGTGGATATATGAAACACTAGGCATGTTCTCATGGGCAGAAAGCACTGACCTCGCTACCAGCTTGGAATAATGAAGTAACAAAAACACGAGGAAACGCATTGACGTCTGTGATCTACACAGTAATACCTCATATTGCCTCCATCACTTAATTTCACATTAAAATAATATGTTTCATTGAACGTGACATGACAACATGCTTAAACAATAACAGCGACAGGCAAATATCCAATGATCTAGAAAGAAAGCCCACTGAAAGCGTTTATGTCCTGATGTCTGTATATTGGATAAAAGATTATAATAGTAACCAGCACCCAACTTTTCATGATCATACTGTCTTCAGGTCAGAATGTGTGGGCACAATGTCCGAGTGTGGAAGGGCAGGGGGAGGGTCCAGCCCATCAGGCAGATGGCCCCAGCCATGCTAAGGAGTATGCCACCTCCTCGCCCTTGTACTGCTGCGATCCTGACCTCACCCTGTGGGTGTTGTGTCCTCTGTTGGTCACCCACCTGTGCAGCTGACTGCAGGCAGAGCCTCCCTTCCTGAAAATCATGGAGAGATAACGGAGGAGCTGTGCTACATGCAGTGGCCTGGTAATCAACTTGGGAGATAGATACATCCTTGCCTGTGTGCTTCAATCCCTGACAGCCCAGTGTCCCTAGAAGAACTGTGACAGCCTGGACTCCAAGGTGAAGCAAAACCCTATTTTATCTGTTGAAAAGAACTTATTTTGCTTCCATTAAAATTGTTAAATTCTGTAGAACAAACCAGCAGCCATCAAAATTAGTGCACAGCAACACGACAGACTAGCAGTGGTTCTCAACCTTCTGGCACTTTAAACACTGTTCCTCATATTGTGACCCAACCATAAAATTATTTTCGTTGCTACTTCATAACTGTCATATTGCTACTGTTATGAATCGTAATGTAAATATCTGATATGCAGGATGGTCTTAGGCGACACCTGTGAAAGATCCATTCGACCGCCAAAGGGGCTGTGACCCACAGGTTGAGAACCATTGGACTGGAGTGAGCTAGCAGCAGCATACTCTTTGTAAACTAGAGGAGAGCAGCACAAAGGAGAGTCAGACACACACTGGACACAATAATAAACAATTGTGCATGCGCAGTCCATCTGTCAGAGCCTGTTAATATCCTTAGTCTTACCTCCTCGTTAACATGAAGTCCCAGGCTCTTCGCATGTTCTCTGTCATCTCGGTGCAATTTCTGATTATATCCTAGGTCCCTCTTAAAAATACAGTCATAGAGGGAAGTGATTCCTGTCTGGGAGTAAAAAGAGAAAAATGCTGAGGGTTTATTCCCAGGCTGAGCCAATGAAGCTGCACGGACTCTTCTATTTAGTCTAAGGGGGTGACCATGTAAATCGGTGACTTGTCTCTTTGCTTAAAAGTTTTGCATTTCATTTATTCATTCCTCACTCTTTCATGCAGCCGGTATTTATAAAGCACCAACTATGAGACAGGTACTGTTTGGTGTGCTGAGGATAGAAATAATCCCTGCCCTTGTAAGCTTCTATTTTAGTTGGGGATGGGGGGGGAGATAAAATAACTAAGTAAATATGTAATAGAATAGATACTACTAGGTGTAAAGGGGGGGAAGCAGGGAGAGGAAGGACGTATATGTGGGGGGTAGTCATGACTTCATTTGCTAGCACACATTTTGATTGGAAGCCATGTGGATGCAAGAGTCTGCAGGACACCAGAGGTAAACTTGCCTAGATTTTAACCAGTAAAACAGCAACAGAACGGGAGCTTGCCTGTCTTCCACAGCCCCTAGGAGTGGCTGAGTGTACGTGGCAGATGTGCTTGGTGCCTAAGAGGGAAGAGGCTCCACACTGGGGGAGGGGCGGTGGGAGGGCTGGGGAACTCTTACTGCACACCTCCTGTGTACTGGACATGGGCACAGGCCCTCCACATCCACTCTGCACCTCTGGACAGTCAACACGCATTGTTATGTTTACAAAGTGCTTGGCTGCATTGGGGACGGGACATTCAGTCACCAGGAGGGGAAAGAAATTGTCAGGCCCTGGCCTCTGTCCCCACAACACAACTAGAAGGAAAGTCAGCTAATCCCACCAAAGCTAAATTTAGGCTTTTTAAAAATTTTTAGTATGTTTTCATTGATTCTAGAGAGAGAGGGAGAGAAACATCAATGTGAGAGAGAACCATCTATTGGCTGCCCCCTGCATGCCCCCTACAGGGGATTGAGCCTGCAACCCTAGCATATGTCCTCACCAGGAATTGAACCTGAACCCTTCGGGGCGTGGGACGACACTCAACCAACTAAGCCACACCGGCCAGGGCTAAATTGGGGCTTTCTAAGCAAAGCTTCACTCAAAACAGAGCTACCCACAATTCATCTTAGCATGAGTGAAAGCATATTCTAAAACCACTCAGGATTTTTGTTGTAGTTGTAGCTTTTAGAATGAGAAATTTAATCAGCCCCTTCATAAAAAGCCATTCTCCTTTGACTTAGCTTTTCCACTTCAGGAGC